AGCTAGGCAGCCATCTCTTGTGGATGGTTTCAGTGTTTGGAGGGGTTTTGTACATTGCAGAAGGTCAGACTCAATGATCTTTGCGGTTTCCTCCAAGTTCTATCATTTCACTTTTTTATCACAATTGCTACTGTGATTATAGGAATGTCCTCAAGGAAGCTCAGAATCAAATCTGCCAGGTTCATCAAATTGAACATTCCCTAATGCGTATGTTCTGAATGGGGCGGCTGTCCCCAGAAGGAGCAAGATAGCAGTTTGAGAGTATGACTCGATTTCCATTTGTCCTGGGGTTTGCAAATGGCAGCTGTGGTGAGAATTACACTTTAATGCAGCCCTTCCTGGGCCAGTCAGCACAATTAGCCCTGCCTTGGGGTTATAACGGATCTCAGTGCACTGCAATGCACCTTAAATGAGGCTATCCTTGAAAAGTGTCCATATATGGTATCGTAACTGGTGCAGTTAGAGCTGCCAGGTGACTGAGGGTGCAAGATGTAGAAATTGTTTATTTTTTATATTGGAAAGTTCTACACTGGCTTAATCTCCCAGTTACTGGTTGATATCAAGCCCAAGAACAACATGTGGAATTGTTCTGAGTAATTACTTTATTATTGTTTGTCTAAAGACAGAAATCATCTAAGACAGGGGTAGGCAACCTTGGCTCTTTTATGACTCGTAAACTTCAACTCCCAGAATTCCTGAGCCAGCTTGGCTGGCTCAGGAATTCTGGGAGTTGAAGTCCACGAGTCATAAAAGAGCCAAGGTTGCCTACCCCTGATCTAAGATAATCTTCCAATGAGATCAGTTGGAGGATGTGGCTATCATTGAAAGAGATTTTCAAGCGATAGCCTTAAAAACTCTCTACATATTTAAACCATCATTTAGCTATTGCTTCTGGTTTTACTTTAGGTTGCTTTTATTTATGTTTTACCACACTCATTTATGATATAGCATTACATTTACAGTATGTTCTCTATTGCCCAGACATTCTTGTCTGTTGAAATGCAGTGAGTGAAATCATGCGCTTGAGGATTCTCAAATTTTACACCTACCTCCTAAATCAACATGCCTGTGTGATCTAATGTGGGCTTTCTAAGATGGCTCATCTGTGTTTTCCTGGTGCTTTTTTTTAGCCTCTCAGATCATTGCAGAAAGTCTTGCCTCGCACTGGACTCATCAATTGGATGAGTCAGTTGGGTTGGGCAAGGAGACGAGAAAGCAACTTCCTACAGATGTTCCTTCTCTGACTATTATGTAAAGCCAACTTGATTTTTCTCATCTATAGTATTCTTTTTGGGAGCTAGAGTTGCAATTTTACTCTAAACCAGCCTTTTTCAAACTAGGCAACTTTCAGATGTGTGAACTTCAACTTTCAGAATTCCCCAGCTAGAATTCTGGGAGTTGAAGACTGCACATCTTACAATGATCAACCCTGAGAAACACTGATCTAGATCTTACACTTAATTAACTGTATGTACAGAAAGAGGTTTGCCTTATGGCTAATATTGTTGTTGTCATTCTTTGCAGTTCTCTTGAGTTGGAGCATTGTTCTCTGCAAGTTCTGGATCCTGAGGGAAGTCCCAGCTGGAGTCTCCTTCAGCTAATGGGAGAAAGAGGCTGTACTGTTTCAGAGCTGACAGAATTGCTGCAGTCCCTGCAACATACCGAGGCACTTCAGTTGCTCAATCCAAGTGAGTTTGCGTTCTCAGCCTAGGCCACCTCTTAGTAATCTTATTAGTGCAAGTTGCATCTTATACTTAAAGCATTAAATTATACTGGCTTCCATCTAACAACTAAGATAATCAAAATGACTTTGCATTCTGACTGTCAGGGAAGAAAGAAATGATAACAAACTTTCTGTTCTTGGACAGACAGTCCTCGACTTACAACTAGTCATTTAGGAACGAGTCAGAATTACAGTGGACCTCAAAAAAGGACTTACGATGTGGATTCAAAGTTCTGACATGCAACCACCCCACCCCCTGCAATCACATGACTGCATTTTGGACACTCGGCAACCAGCCCACCTTTACAATTGTTTGCAGTGTCCTGCAGTCACAATCATGTTTATTGTTTTCCTGAAACCAGGGTTTACTTCCCATTTCCAGAAAAAAAAATGCCCCATGGCAAACAGTGGGTACGCCTAACTACCACTGCATTTGATTTATGATTGCCACATAGAATAGAATAGAATAGAATAGAATAGAATAGAATAGAATAGAATAGAATAGAATAGAATAGGAAGGGACCTTGGAGATCTTCTAGTCCAGCCTCCTGCTCAAGCAGGAGAACCTATACCATTTCAGACAAGTGACTGTCTAGTCCAGGGGTGTCAAACTGTCGGCCCATGGGCCGGATGCATCATAGCAAAACCGCGCCCACTCCATTGCCAGCAATGGCAAAAAAGTCGCGATTTGTCATGACACGTCACATGACGTTGCGAGTTTGACACCCCCGGTCTAACCTCTTCTTACAAATTTCCAGCGATGGAACGCCCACGATTTCTGGAGGCAAGCTGTTCCACTGGTTAATCGTCCTCACTGTCAGGAAGTTTCTCCTTAGTTCCAGGTTGCTTCTCTCTTTGATCAGTTTCCAACCATTGTTTCTTGTCCTGCCCTCTGGTGCTTTGGTGAATAACGTGACCCCCACTTCTTTGTGGTAGAAGTGGGCAGCATCATGACCTACTTTATGATAATCACGACTTGTGACCGAAATTGCAGGCTCAATTACAGTCGTAAGTTGACGAATATCTGTATATCTTCCAGTTTGTGTACAGCTATTTAAGCCTTGCCTCCCTGTTAGAACGAGCCTTCAGGATACTGCCAATGAAAAGTCAAATTGCTTTTTGTGAGTTAAATGTTACATGCATGTAACATAATAATCCATAGTGAATCTACACAGATAAGCGATTCATTTATAAGTTGCTAATAACATCAATTCTGAAGACCATAGATTGCAAAAAAGTTTATTTTTTATAATGTTAAATAATGGAGCATCTGCTTTATTCCAAAGTCAATTTCCACATGATATAAATATGGCTAAAAAGAATGTGAACATCAGTAAATATTACTTCTTATTTCATAGTTGAGTTGATACACGTAACTTCTTCCCCAAAAATAACAATTAAAGAACAGTAAATGAACATATGTTTAATTGAAGCATTAATCTCATTGCATCTCAAACAATATGATGCCTTTTCTATATAAATGCAGTGGAGTCTAATAAATCTAATAAAATATTATTTTCATTGAATAAGATGTTATAGCAGTGTTGGCGAACCTATGGCACGGGTACCAGAGGCGGCACTCAGAGCCCTCTCTGTGGGCATGCGTGCCATCGCCCCAGTCCTAGGCCTTCAGCTGGGTTTTATAAAACCTTTTCACTTTAGACCTCCGCTGCCGTGTGCAAAAAAAAAAAGGTTTTTTCAGTCAATTTCAACTTCTTGCGGGAAAAAAAAGGTCTTGCAAAGTTGGAATTGATTGACTGAACTTTTTAGTCCCACCCAGTCTGCTGTTACCACCGCAGCCATGCCCACCCAATGGGCCACGCCCACCCAATTGGCCACACCCAGCCAATGGGCCACACCCACCCGGCACTCGACAATGCATAAGTGGGTTTTGGGTTGCAGTTTGGGCACTCAGTCTCTAAAAGGTTCGCCATCACTGTGTTATAGGATACCTGGAATTTTTGATATTGATGTAAACACCACTTCCATTGCTGCTTGATTATCTTTCCTAGGATTTTCCCAGTTATTGATGTCAAGCTGGATCCACTTTTTCCCCCTTCTTGAAGATTGGAATTCTTTTTCCAGTACTCTGGCAGTTCCCCTCTGCTCCACGATCTCTGAAAGATTTTCTTCAGTGGTTCTGAGATCATATCTGCCAGCTCTTTCAGATTTGCTTATCCCTTTCCTGTTATATTGTGTTTTCAATTTGTCCTGTATGCAGTCTTGAGGTTTTTTGATGATTAGACAGCCTTACAAAGCTAACAAACAATTAAATAAGCAAGCAAGCAAACTTCAGTGTGTTTATATAATTAGCTTCTTTTGTGTTAAATATAGATTACTCTTATCTTTTTCATAGGTATAAAGATCATTGTAGAACCAGAATCCCAAGCTATTTTATCTGGCCAGATGGTGAAACTAAGCTGCTGGGCAACAGGATATCCTCTCCTATATTATCAATGGTTTAAAGAGAAAAAAATGGTAAATAAATATACTAGAATGTAAGTGGTAGCTTCTAAAATGTAGAAAATTCTAGAACATATTGAATGCAATTTTCTTTTTTAAAATATTTTTATTAACATTTTTTTTCAATATAGTGAAAGCATTGAAAGTATTAAAATATAGAAAATTAAACATAACAGAAAATAAGAAAGACGGGCAAAAGAAAAAGGAAAAAGAAAGAAAGAAAGCATAGAATTATGACTTTTAACCTTCATTTCATCAATATTTATTCAAATATTCAAATTTATTCGACCATCCATCTCATACAAGGTGTTAAGTTTTGACATCATGATATCAAGGGTTGACACTATGGTTTCAAGGGTTGACACCTTGACATTGTACTGGCCACTGGCCTACTACAAAATAGTTTCCAAGTTCTTATTCTTGAAAACATAAGTGAGATAAAATATGTAATAAAATAGCCACATTTCTTAAAGCCAACATAACATTTTTTCAGTGCCTATGATTTTTAAAAGAAATGGATTTTTCATATTTGAGGAATAGTAATTTCCCAGGAAAATCAGCATATTGCAGAGATCTTGGCAGCACTCATAAAAACATTATTGAATAGATATTTATAGTATGCAACTAAAATATGAATATAACTGGGTTTTTTGGGACAAAACATTTCTATGACATCAAGCAGTGTTGAATAAGGACCTGTGGATACTAAATGATTTTATTCCTGGTAAGCAGTTGTATTTGGCAGAACATAAAAGTTCACTATTGTTGAAGTTTAAGTATTCTTCGTGTAATATTTTGATTTTATTTTGATCTGGGTGTATAGCATGAAATTTTCCCATTCTCAAAAGTACACTTCACATCAAAAATAGGTATTTAATTAATTGAATTAACAGTATGTTATGTGTATGAAAATGTATTGTCATATTAGACTGCAGTTCTAAATATTCAATCTATCTAGGTATTTCTCAACATGCAACTAATAGCAATAGCAATAGACTTATATAACGCTTCATAGTGCTTTACTATGCTATTATTTGTTGGCTCTAAGCGGCTTACAGAGTCACCATATTGCCCCCAACAATCTGGGTCCTCATTTTACTGACCTCGGAAGATGGAAGGCTAAGTCAACCTTGAGCCAGTCAGAATCAAACTCCTGGAGATGGGCAGAGTTAACCTGCAACACTGCATTCTAACCATTGCTCCACCACAGCTCTAATCAAAGTTCCAATATACCTACCTGGGTGGTATGTTCAACTCAGACTTGAAGTTGCAATGGTCAGCCTCCTCCCTATAGTCACATCACCTCACTTTGTGTGCTTGGAAACTGGACTGCATTTATAGCCGTTTGCAGTGTCCCATGGTCATGTGGCCGAATGTTACAGTGGTTTTGTCAAAAACAGCCATTTCTGGTTTTCAGCAAAACCATGCCATAGTGAACCATTGGTTTGATTAACAACCATAGATTAGCTTAATAACTGTCAAAAAGTAATAAAATTGACCATCATGAGCTACAACTATAATGGGCAGGCTCCATTACCTGTACAGTACTAAAGTATTAAATCTTTAGTACAGTACCTGTACGGTACTAAAGTATTAAATCTTAATAACATGTATTATTAAAGCCTTTTCTCACTAGGAAGTTACAGTGTCTTCATGGCATCATCTAGCTGTTGCTTCAAAGATATAATCCCCGAGTCCACTAAGGAGTTGTTACTTAGATCCAGGTATCCTGGTAGTTTCACAAACTTTATTTTATTTCAGTAGGTTCATGGTTAACAACCTTGGTCTCAATAGAGGAGAATATTTGCAGTTTAGGGTTGAAGTGAGGGGTCCTTGGTGACTTCTGAGGTTGTTGTTTTCTTGCTGATGTTTCATTACCCGAACTAGGTAACATTATCAGTGCTCATAGAGAGTGAGGTTTGCTGTCATTTTATGTTGACAGGCTTGCCCTCTCAGTGTTGGTGGGAGTGCTCTTGGTAGTTCTTTGTTTGGGCTGTTTACTGTCGGCCTGACCATGTTCAATGTGACAATCTGATTGTTAAGAAATCTATAATACCACTATTTTATTCTTTGAACTGCTGTGACCATTTGCTTCTCTTTCTAACTAAGCGATACTGTGAATAATATTATTGCCCTTTCTATGGATTTGATCATCAGCAATTGTTCCATGAGCTGTCGTTCATTTTGACCTCAATGTATTAAGTTAAATTAATTTCTGGGGAAAAAAATATCTATGGGTTTCCATTACAGAAAATACTCTTCTGAACTAAGAAATGAATTCTATGAAGCACTTTACAAGTAATAGTTACTTGGTTTTTTTTTTTTTGTTGTTGTTAATTGCGAAGTCGTGTCCGACCCATCGCGACTCCATGGACAACGTTCCTCCAGGTCTTCCTGTCCTCTACCATCACGCCTACTGCTTCAGTGACTCCATCCAGCCATCTCATTCTCTGTCGTCCCCTTCTTCTATTGCCCTCAATCTTTCCCAGCATTAGGCTCTTCTCCAGTGAGTCCTTCCTTCTCATTAGGTGGCCAAAGTACTTGAGTTTCAACTTCAGGATCTAGCCTTCTAAAGAGCAGTCAGGGTTGATCTAGGACTGATCGGTTTGAACGCCTTGCAGTCCAAGGGACTCGCAGGAGTCTTCTCCAGCACCATAGTTCAAAGGCCTCAATTCTTTGTCGCTCAGCCTTTCTTATGGTCCAACTTTCACATCCATACATTTAGGTGTGGATAAATCACGTTTCAGATTATGAATTGATTGAATCCTTGGCAATCACAGAGAACCTAAAGCAGGGGTCTTCAAACTTGGCCCTTTTATGACTTGTGGACTTCACGTCCCAGAATTCCTCAGCCAGCGTGCCTGGCTGAGGAATTCTGGGACTTGAAGTCCACAAGTCATAAAAGGGCCAAGTTTGAAGACCCCTGGCCTAAAGGATATATTGAATTCTTTGAGCCAAAGCTACAAACAGGTGTTTCCCTTCTATGCTATTTTTAATGTATAATCTTAGACTATAATGTCTTTATGCGTCAGAAATGAGTCCCTGTCTTTTTGAACAGCTTTCCTCCAAACTACTTATGGCCCCAACTCTTCTGTGTCTTCAGGAAGCCTCGAAGGTCTGGCTTTTCCTGCAGAGTATTTTTTGACCTCACTTGTTGATCTATGCTTTATTATATGCAACTGGTTTTGCGTTTCCCTGATGTGGATTTTAGCAATCTTACTGTTATTTGCTTGATTTCTCTTGCCTTGCATTGCCTTACAAATTATTTATGCTTTGTAAACTGCCTAGAGATACTGCTGCGACTTATAAGGTAGTGGAATGGATGGATGGATGGATGGATGGATGGATGGATGGATGGATGGATGGATGGATGGATGGAAAGTCAACATACTAGATCTCAAGAATGCCTTAGAAGCGCCTCTTTGTGTTCTTAGTCTTGGTCCTGAACTGGAGAGACCATCAGTTAACTCCCTGCTCATCTAGAAGTTTATCAGGCAGCCTTTATCATATCTTTGTCTTCCATCTTAATCTAGTTTAACAGTATAGCTGTGTTGATAATATTTATGCTGAGTTTCTTGCAAAATGAAAATTAATTGTTAGATAACATAGCAATATAATTGTTAGATGAGATAGAACAAGAGTAAGTTGGATTGAGATGGGTGGGTGTAGAAATTAAATCAATCAATAATATTTTAAAATCTTGAGTGCTTAAGATTTCATTTTTCTTGGTTAATTTGTTTCAAACAGGCAAAGAACACGCATGAACTCCAAACTGATCTTTGCTGAACCTCTATTCTATTGGTTTACAAATAATGCTCAACATAGAACAATGGCTGAGTTCGCCAGTCACTCTAAGTTTAAACAAACAATCAGCCAAACCAGCTATATCTTCCTTATTGTGGCAATGTGTGCAATCTGTTTTTTGTTGTATCCTAATTCAGATTCCAAATGGGAATTCCCCAGAACTGATATTCAATCAAGTGACTGCAGAAGATGCAGGATTATACATATGTCGAGTGAACAATGATTCTTCCTATGAATTCAGCCACTGGGCACAGCTGGATGTTTGCGATAGCCAAAGAGATTCTGATGGTGGGTTACAGACTTTTAACATGGTAGAAATGACAAGAAGGTGTAAATAGGAGGCATACTGATTTTCTACTTTCATTTTAAAGTTGTAACAATAATGTTTTTATATCTCTGCAGTTTTTTCTCTTGGCATAGGGACGATCGTGATTGATTATGAAGTCATAGAATCTCTGATGGTGGAATTCTCTCTATTCTCTATGGCTGCAGTTTCAGGAAACACAATTCCTAAATCTCTGTCAAGTTAGGCTATAACTACAATAGATTTCTAAAAACTTTTAATGAGCTCATGCTGGTATATTTGACCACAACAGCTGAGTTAAAAAGCATCTGTCCTCTGTCCCGGAGATAATGTTTTCTAACTTTTATGCACTTTTGGAGGGGCACAAGTCCATGAAAGTTTAAAGACTTGCTAAAGCCTAAAATGTATTATTTCTCAGTATTTACCTGGAAATCTTTCATTGCTTGTTTCTTAGTGATTTTTAAGTTATTTTTAGATTACCTTTTAGTCAGAAGGACTTTAACACAGTATAAAAGTTAATATGAAAGCAATTTAATTAACTATGCGTATAACTTTCTGAAAAACACATGTTTTAGGTCGTATATTAAAACCCATCTAATACTGAATGAATCAGGAAAGTCTTTCTCTCTCACTGGAAACTGAGTAACAAATGGCTTTTCTGATCCCTCAAGAAAGCATTTAAATCCATTTTGTTGATAAGATCTACATCCTGAATTGAGCCCAATAACCCTTGGAATCAATTCAAATGATGTAAGATTGAGATATGCTTATTGCTGTCCAATAAAAGAGAGTATTTGTGGCTTGAACTGTGGTCCTTGGCACTCTTGGGCTTACTTGTTTGCTTGCAGATGTTACATTACTCAAATAGGTAACATCTTACATAGAAAATGAGTGTATCCCTGTTTATACAGGTAGTCCTCGGCTTACGACCACAATTGAGCCCAAAAGGTATGTTGCTAAGTGAGAAATTTGTTAAGTGAGTTTTGTCCCATTTTACGGCTGTTCTTGCCACAGTCATTAAATGAATCACCGCAGTTTTGTTAAATTAGTAACACCGTTGTTAGTTAATCTGGCTTCCCTATTGACTTTGCTTGTTGGAAGGTCACAAGAGGGGATCACATACATGATCCTGGGACACTGCAACCGTCATAAATATGAACTGGTTATCAAGTATCTAAATGTAAATCACATGATCATGGGGATGCTGCAATGGTCATAAGTGTGAAAAACGGTCATAAGTCACTTTTTTCAGTGCTGTAACTTTGAAGGTCACTAAATGAACTGTTATAAGTCGAGGACTATCTGTATACAGAAGCTTGTCCTGCTTGTGTTGGTGAGGGTATGGTTTTTTTCTCTTTGGTAAGTCCTTGCTTTCTGCTTAATATGTTTTCTTCTCTTTACCATCTAATTTAGCTGTATTGTTCTGGATTAAATGCAATTTCTGATCACTCTTGCAAGACAGTATCATTTGACTGCTAATCGTAATATTAAAATGCTAAGTCACTAAACTATTATCCTCGGATACTGTATATCTTGGTGGAGAATTACTTAAGCAATTGCTTGTCCAAAAAGATAATATACTCAGTCTTTTTACAGTACTTTACAACTCTAGTAAGTTTATTTCTCATTAAAGAGGAATATGTAATTAAGTACGGCAGTAGTTGCTAACACTTTTATATGTAGGTTTTATGGTGCATGAAATAGGAGTGAAGCCATATTTGTAGTTCATTTCTACCATACATAATCAAGTACTTCCGCAATGAATTAGCATCTACACATTAATATAGGTTACCTACAGGAATATATTTTGCTTTACTAGAAGGAAATGTATTAACCACTGAGAAGAGCTCAGAACATGAACATGGCAAATAATTTAATATGAATTGAAAATCACCTGAGCAACTACAGTAGTCCTTGAATTACAACTGTAGTTGAGCTCAAGTTATGATGGTTGTAAAGCGGGTTGCCATGTGACTGGACCCCGATTTTACTACTTTTTTGCAGTAGATGTTAAGCAAATATGGCAAGGAATGCAGTTGCTCACTTGGTTAGGATGCTGGGCTGAGGATTGGCAAGCTCATGTTTGAGACCCAGTGGCTGCATGTGGTGGGTTGAGCTCCCATCACTGGCTACATCTCCTGCCAATCCAGCAGTTTGAAAGCAGGAGACTGTGAGTAGATAGATAGGTACCACTTTGGTGGGCAACTTAACAGGGACATGTAAGAGCACCCTACTGGGCAACGGTGATATAATTGGCTAATCCCTCCAACCTGGAAGTGTTTTGGCATTCCCAATACGACTGTAGTAGTAATAGCAAATGTGACAGTCATAAAGGGAATGTAGCTTTGTTAAGCAAAGCCATTGTTTACTATGGGGTGTCTTTTGCCAAAGACCTAAAGTAAATGCCAGTTTCTGGCAAAAACACCATAAATCGGAGTACGGAAGATGGCTGTGAAAGTGGACTCGTTGCCAAGCATCCAAAATGCAGTCATGTGACCATGGGGGGGACAGACATCCAAATCTCGAAACCAAGTCATAAGTCCTTTTGTGGGGGTCTGTAGTACCTTCGAATGGTCACCGAGTAACCAGTTGTAAGTTGAGGATTATCTGCAGTACCTTTTTAAATTTAGTGTTTTGAATTTACTTTTAACACCCCTCTCTAAAGCAGGGGTGGGGAACAATGACCCCTTTATGACCTGTGGAATTTGACCCCCAGAATTCCTGAGCCAGCTTGGCTGGCTCAGGAATTCTGGGAATCGAAGTCCATAGGTCTTAAAGGGGCCATCGTTCCTCACCACTGCTCTAAAGGAACAAGCCCACACTGTTTATTGCTTTCTTCTCAAAACCATCCTCTTCCTTTAAATTAGATGCAGCAAAATAAATGAGGAAGGAACCGGTTGTGGGTGAAGAAATGTTCGTTCTTTGCTGACTTGCTTCTACTCTGCAAATCTGGCATCTCTCTCTCTTGCTTTGCTGAAAAGATTTTTATCTCACAAATGTTTAAACATCTTCAATTTAAGGAAGCTACCTCGAGTGGCCTGAAAAGAAAATACACATCTGCCTGCACCCGCAATCTCAAAAGTTGATGGCTGGAGAAAGGTTAATTCTTCAGTGTGAAGCCACAGGAAATCCTATGCCACAGTACCAGTGGTACAAGGAGGAATTCCCACTTCCTAATGGAGAGAAAAAGGCCTATGTGGTGAGTCCTTTTCCTCCTCCCCCCCCCCCCCAGCTACAGTGATGAGGAGTTGATAACAGGAAATAAATTCTTCAAGAGTAACTCTGAAATTCAGTAAATAAAATAAAATGTTCATTAACCCCCTAATGTTTTGCCATTGGCGTGTTGATAATAGTTGCTTGGTTCTCTGTGGAATATTGCACTCTGAAGTGAGTTTAATTGCTTGCATCCTATTTCCCAAAGTATTTACTGGCTGAGAGGCTAAACCCAAGGCTTTCAATTATTTAGCATGACTGCAAAGTTGATGCAAGACTATGTATAAGCCTTAACGCAGTGACCTCCATTAGTTTAGTATTGGTTTTATGAAATGCTTAATATGGAATGGAATGGAATGGAATGGAATGGAATGGAATGGAATGGAATAGAACAGAACAGAACAGAACAGAACAGAACAGAACAGAATAGAATAGAATAGAATAGAATAGAATAGAATTCTTTATTGGCCTTAATGCAATGACCTCCATTAATTTAGTATTAGTTTTATGAAATGCTTAATATGGAATGGAATGGAATGGAATGGAATAGAATAGAATAGAATAGAATAGAATAGAATAGAACAGAACAGAACAGAACAGAACAGAACAGAACAGAACAGAACAGAACAGAACAGAACAGAACAGAACAGAACAGAACAGAACAGAATAGAATAGAATAGAATAGAATAGAATAGAATAGAATAGAATAGAATTCTTTATTGGCCTTAATGCAATGACCTCCATTAATTTAGTATTAGTTTTATGAAATGCTTAATATGGAATGGAATGGAGAGGAATGGAATGGAATGGAATGGAATAGAATAGCATATAGAATAGAATATAGAATAGAATAGAATAGAATAGAATAGAATAGAATAGAATAGAATAGATTTTTTATTGGCCTTAATGCAATGACCTCCATTAATTTAGTATTAGTTTTATGAAATGCTTAATATGGAATGGAATGGAATGGAGTGGAGAGGAATGGAATAGAATAGCATATAGAATAGAATATAGAATAGAATAGAATAGAATAGAATAGAATAGAATAGAATAGAATAGAATAGAATAGATTTTTTATTGGCCTTAATGCAATGACCTCCATTAATTTAGTATTAGTTTTATGAAATGCTTAATATGGAATGGAATGGAATGGAATGGAATGGAATAGAATAGCATATAGAATAGAATAGAATAGAATAGAATAGAATAGAATAGAATAGAATAGAATAGAATAGATTTTTTATTGGCCTTAATGCAATGACCTCCATTAATTTAGTATTAGTTTTATGAAATGCTTAATATGGAATGGAATGGAATAGAATGGAGTGGAATGGAATAGAATAGAATGGAATGGAATGGAATAGAATATAGAATAGAATAGAATAGAATAGAATAGAATAGAATAGAATAGAATAGAATAGAATAGAATTTTTTATTGGCCTTAATGCAATGACCTCCATTAATTTAGTATTAGTTTTATGAAATGCTTAATATGGAATGGAATGGAATAGAATGGAGTGGAATGGAATAGAATAGAATGGAATGGAATAGAATATAGAATAGAATAGAATAGAATAGAATAGAATAGAATAGAATAGAATAGAATTTTTTATTGGCCTTAATGCAATGACCTCCATTAATTTAGTATTAGTTTTATGAAATGCTTAATATGGAATGGAATGGAGTGGAGAGGAATGGAATGGAATGGAATGGAATAGAATATAGAATAGAATAGAATAGAATAGAATAGAATAGAATAGAATAGAATAGAATAGAATAGAATAGAATTTTTTATTGGCCTTAATGCAATGACCTCCATTAATTTAGTATTAGTTTTATGAAATGCTTAATATGGAATGGAATGGAATGGAGTGGAGAGGAATGGAATGGAATGGAATAGAATATAGAATAGAATAGAATAGAATAGAATAGAATAGAATAGAATAGAATAGAATAGAATAGAATAGAATAGAATAGAATTCTTTATTGGCCAAGTGTGATTGGACATACAAGGAATTTGTCTCCGGTGCATAACCTCACAGTGTACCTATAAAAGCAAGTAATAGGTCATAGGTCATAATCACAGTTACAATAATTAATCATAAGTTACAAACAACAATTGAATAGTTTTATTTTGGGCATTAATGCTGACTGTAGAAAGTGATCTTTCGAAATTACAATGGCATTGAAAAAAGTGACTTATGACTGATTTTCACACTTATGACCATTGCAGCATCCCCATGGTCATGTGATCAAAATTCAGACACTTGGCAACTAGCATGTATTTATGACGGTTGCAGTGTCCCGGGGTCATGTGATCACCTTTTGCAACCTTCTTACAAGCCAAGTCAATAGGAAAGCCAGATTCACTTAACAACTGTGTTACTAACTTAACAACTGCAGTGATTCACTTAACAACTGTGGTAAGAAAGATCGTAAAATGAGACACAATTCATTTAACAACCCGTAGCAACATTTTTTTCTCTGTGAGGAAGGCATTTTTTTTAATGGCGATACAGTCCATTACATGAGCCTTTGTCTGCAAGAGTTTCTCCTCTCACTGAATTAGGCTGCAGAATTTGTAGATTCAGATTCAGGCTGCCAGAATGCAAACTTTATTGAAATGTATGCAATAGTATTGCTGGAATAAAAAGAATGAACTTCGGAGAATAAACTCACTAGAAAATGTATGGTACTCTTGAAGGTATCCTGCGTAGACATTGAACATCAAGGGACATATTGGTGTCGAGTATACAATAATCAACAAAATGAAGAAAGCAGAAAAGTGAAAGTAACTATAGGTAAGAAGTCTAATAGTAAATTTAATTAAGTAGTAAAGTGATATGTGTTCAGCTGGAAATATCAACGTAAGAAATTACTCATGGGATCGGTTATAATTAACATGGCAGTTTTTATAGGACTTGTTTTCTATATATCTTAAAAAATTATTTCATAGAAAATTAAGGTCTGAACTTTGTTAGGTTCTTATTTGTTGATTCTGGACACCGATACAGTTGCCATTCTTGTAACAGTCATAATTATTTTATAGATTTTTTTTCACTTGTTCAAACTTTTCCATCTTGTTCAAACTGTGTAATTATTGTCTTCCTCTGAATGTCATTTCTGGAAGAGATAAGATTGCCACCAGCATAGGATAAACTTTATGCCATGGGGCAGGGGGGAAATGAAAGTATCTCTATGCTGGTTATCAAATTTCTAAGCATGCTACCATATGTTCACTTGATTTCCTGATGTTTATTCATGCTGTGTGGGAAAAGGATATATGTCAGTAATATTACCTACTATTTGCATTCTGCTGAGGATATATAAGTAGGACACTCATAATGTCTATGAAGATTCTCCGTCATCCAGGTCATGGTTGTCCCAACGGTGCTTTTCCAAAAGGCAACTGGACTTTCTTGGTTTTTTTCCTTGAAAACGTTTTGCTTCTCGTCCAAGAAGCTTGTTCAGTTCAGTAAGAGAACTAAAGAAGCTTCTTGGTGGACTTTTGGTTTTGCGCAGTAGCGACGAGTCAGGGGCTTGCGGATTCTCCGCACCACCGCAGTTAATTTTGCCCTGCCTGGGGACCCTAAATGGGTCTAAGTTGCCCCGGAGAGGTGACAAAGAAAGAAGGGTGCTCCAGCGATTCTGGAATGGCAGGGGCCGCTTCATTTAACTTGGGGAAAGCCTTCTAACCCGAAAGGAGAAAGGCTGGCCGTATTATATCGACCAGCCCAAGCTACTAGCAACCGAAGTCCAAAAGCACTAACCAGCACAACTGTGAATAGTGTGCTTGAAACTGGGTGTGGAATTTGATCTTCTCTTTTCTATTCTACATTTAATTTCCTGGAAAAGATCCCCAAGAAGCAAAATACCTCGGAAAGGGAAGGAGGGGGATTTCCGCCCCACCCTTATACTAACGGAAGCAGTGAATTAGTCTTTTTATGGAGGATCAAAATATATGGAAGTGAAATATAAAACCTGAAATTTAAATTTTAAATCTGGATAAATCTAAAATTGTTTGAATGGTTAAGACTCTCATTTTAAAAATAATTGTTTATTTTGGAAATTGAAAAATAAATAGTTGCTGACACCTAGTGATGGATGAAGACTATGACAGCTATGACTTTAATATAAGACTTGGAAAAATCTGGGAAAAGCTAATCTGTTTGTGACCTTCAAAGTTTTAACAACAAAGAACAGCTGTGACAAAAAAAGACAATAATCTGGGCTGTAGACAAAGAGAGAATTATAAATTTCAGAAAAAAAAATCTTTTTTGAACTATTTGGATTACAAATATCTATTTAATTGGGATTCTAAAGCTATTTGCAGAGAAAAGAAAGGAAGAGAAAAACTCAAATTCTTGGCCATCATGAATCAGAGACATGTAGAAAGAACATATCAAGAAAACATAAATACTTCACAGGAGGAGATATATTGTATACTGCAACTAATTCAAACAACAATGACTTTAAACCACAAAGAAATCCAAAATAACTTTGAAAATATAAATCAATCTATTTCTAAGTTAACTCTACAACAACAAAAATTCCCAGAAAACAACAACAGAGAAAGAGCAGATAAATGGATATAGAATTGAGAATAGAGACTTGAAGATGAAATTTAACAAAACAAGGAAACATGATTTAATCCTAGTGGAAAAAAATTCACAAGAATTGGAAAAAACAACTTATCCCTTAAGACTACAAAATAAATTTGAGGACAAGAAAACAGATTGGATAAAATGGACAGTAGAGATGTCAGGAACATCGGAGAGAAAGGAAATGATAAGAGAGGCGGAGAGTAAGAAAAAGAAAAAGATTTTGAACAAACGTGGAAAGGCAGAAGCCCTGGGCAAAGACACTTCACCTGATTTACTTTTTATATCTACAGCAACATTTACGAACATATGGAAAAACTTTTTGATTCAGCAAAATACATTGATTTCCTTTGCCCAGATACTGGGCAAAGGAAAAAGACTAAAGTGGAAAGCAAGAAAATAGATGATGGGACTTACCAGAGAGAATACTTAAAAAAGAAACATTTGTTTGAATATGGTTAAAGAACAATTAACCAATGGAACAACCTGCCTCCAGAAGTGGTGAATGCTCCAACACTGGAAGTTTTTAAGAAGAGACTGGACAGCCGTTTGTCTGAAATGGTGTAGGGTTCCTGCCTGGGCAGGGGGTTGGACTCGATGACCTCCAAGGTCCCTTCCAACTTTATTATTATTATTATTATTATTATTATTATTATTATTA